ATATATATTAATATAACACCAGTTTTTCACTATAAGGCTTGTTTTTATACTTACCATCCACTGTAGAATAAAGTGTCTGTGTATGACATGTACATTATCTGTTTTTGTTTGCTGATCCACTGCTTTACTGCTGGAGGCATACAGTAAGGGGAAAGGGGCAGCTCTGTAAGTGCGGCATGAAATGTTGATAGTCCTGCAGATGCCACCATCACTCTCGTCAGCTACCAGCCTGATTGCTTCCCATCATTTTAAACTGGGAATCAAAGTGAAGTGTCCTGTCAAGACAGTAATACAGCTGTGGTGAAGTGGCTGCAAAGTGGGGGATAATGAGGATCTCTGTATTTCTATTTCTTAATTTTTGCAAAAGAAAAAAAAAGCATTTTCTTCAGCTCCAAATCAGCTCTGACAGAGAAATGGTTGAAAAAAAGCAGCACAAAATATGTMTGTTTGAATAATCAGTAAGCAATAAATACAGGAAACCTTGGGCTGGCTCTTTTTTTTCTAACACAATTTAAATAAGCAAGTCTGTTTCAAAATGACAAGAAAAGGTTCTTCCTAACAGCTTTTTTCTTGTCTCTATGTCCTCTGCTTCTTCAGTTGCCATGTACAGAGAGCCATCATTGCACGATGTYGGAGAGACATTGCCCAAGGCGGCTGTACCTCCCAGTAAAAGCACAAGTGAGCCAGTGGTGATGAACGGAGGCAAACCTGTCAACAAGCCCGACAAACCAGCCACATAGCCACACCTGACCTTTGTCCAGTGGGTGTGTGAAGAGGTGAAATGTGACAAAGGCTGGGCATTTGTTTCTCCCCAACTAGACTCCTCCTGCGGATTGCATCCAGGCGAACCTCTCTTTCTTTATTCTCCCGCTCCTCCTCTTCCTACTTTGTTTCTCCAGATATCTCAGTGCAGATGGATGTATTCTGGCGTGGCGGAGTCCATCTATCCAGCACAGGAAAGAAGCGGACCTCTGATCATAGAATGCCTTTAGATTTTTCTGGAACTGTGAGAGATCATGTGAAAACCACACGTGTTTCACAGTGACGCTTGTTGTACTTTATCTGATGAAACCTTCTTTACGACTGCTATGTTGCAGCAGATTCTGTGTACCTTCAGATCTATTTTCTATACCACAGTTCACCAGCTATGTTCTGGGATAGAGACTGTATAAATAGAGTAAATCTTTGGACTACAGTCCTATATTTTTTACAAGTATGTCCCCGTCTTCTCTTTCTATCTCTAGTCACAACTACTTCTTTTTGGTGTCAATGAAACCTAGAAAAAACACATTTTGCAAGGGAGATGTATGATTTTCTAAGAACCATGTCAACAAAAACAGGGCATAAAAAGCAAACATATAAAACAGTTCAAATTGTTATTTTTGTCAACCAAATGCATATCCCTAAAACCATCAAAGATGTTGCTTTTTTATAGCCCATAAAAACACACTGGAGGCTGGCAGATAGCTCCCGTAATCATAGTTGATGAAGTGCTAATTACCACCACTGCAATCAATGCAAGGAGCTCCCCCCCACACACACACACACTCACACACACACATTTATAAACAGATGTGCATGTGGGTGGGAAAGAGCTGTGAGGAATGGTGTATACATATCACTATCTGTGTCCCACCAGTGGTTCAGCCCGCCTTCTCTGGTAAATAAAGAAGCTGAAGTCTATTTTTCTTTCATCTTATTTCAGAGCGTGGGCTCTAGGAATGTTTCTAGGCCTTGTAGGCCTCTGTTCCTCAACTCACTGACTTCTGTGGACTTTCAGGCAAGGCCTGTGGCTTTGACCCATATGGTCCATAACTGCAGCAACGGCAGCCATCTTATRACAGCATCTACTAAAACTAAGAAAACGACATGGCTGAAAGCCAGCGGATGCCTTTTCTACTGACTGCATCCTGTTTTAGTTCAGCATGAACAATGATAATATTGTTCCCTTTTTGCAGCAGTTACACAGGAGATGGCTTATAGCGTAACATTGTGAAAAAC